TAACAGTGCCAAACAGTGTGAATTCATAACTAAGGCCTCTAACGTAACAAGTGCATCTCCAATATTAATGAATAAACTTGATCACTTTCTTTCATTCTACCTGAATGTTAATATGTGGGAGGCTGAATGAAATTTGGAAATTTTGTGATGACTATTTGAATACTTCCTTGCAACAAATATATTGTTTTGAAAAGGGTTTAATTTCATATTATAGGCTGGGCTTATTTTTAAGGGCAGACCTATGTCCTGCTCTGAATTCTGGACAGGTGTTCTGGTATTTGTAGTTTCTAGAATGGTGGGAGAGGGGGCAGAACCTTTTTTGGATCAGGGGCCACTGACCCACAATAAAACCAATTGGGGACCAAATACAATTGAGAAACAAAAAACCAAAACAAAACCCTCACTGACATGGCCCCTGACTGAGAATGTGAAAGACACTCCCCACATTCCCCTCACACACCAGGGCCTAGGGGGGCCTGGGCTAGTAGATTTTGTGTGCTCTAGCCACATGCTGGGGCAGCAAGGGGACTTGAGTGCCAGTGCAGGCTCCCCAGTGCTGGGGGGCATCCCTGAGCCTCAAGGGCCCAGATCTAGGCAAGCCAAGGGCCACATCTGGCCCCCCAGACCTGAGGTTCCCCATCCTGCTCTAGAGGGATGAAATGACTATGAGCAGCTGGGAGCAAGGCCAGCTGGGAAAAGGGAAGTTGTATAAAAGGCACATCCTAGTTCTTAGTCAAAGAAGAGGGAGGCTTAGATTGTGTTTTGACCTTGGTTGCCTGAGAAATGGATGACTCTGGATTTGGAGGCAAGTCACTTAATCTCCGTTTGACTGAGTTCTTAACTTTTTGCATGTGGGTTGCCTCCCTTTCTCCCACCATTTGCCTGTCTTATCAATTTAGATGGTAAGCCTTTGAGGGCGGGTTCTGTCTCTTGGTATGCCACGAGCACAATGGGACCATTATGGCTTGGGCCTGTAGGAGCCACCTCAGTACAAAGTAATGCAAGTAATAGTCATGTTTTTGCTCTTCTTTTCTCTTCACTTTCTCTTCCCCCTGCTCCCTGTTTTCTCTCACACAACCTGCCACTCTCCAAGCCCTGCCAGGCTGTGTGTTGTCATTCATCATCTAACACTTCCCTAGGTTGCATTGCATTGCACTTCACCCTGCTTGTTACCATAGTGACTGCAGCAAAACAAATTGTGCAGCCCAGGGGGGAGAAGGAGAAAATCCATGGCTGACAGTGGCCTCACAAAGCCGTATGGCCAGAGATGGGACGCTGAGGTGGAGCTCTGTGTCTCATGAGCTGAAAATCCTGGCACTCTGCCATTTTTCAGATACAACACAATAGGTGCACTAGAATTGGATGACATGCCAGATTCAGTTTTGTCTGCTAAGGACTAGTGCATGTAGGTGTGGTCATAGCATCCTAATTATTCTGAGTGCATGAGGGAGGAAATCAAGCTGCCCTAGACACACTAATTTGGATGCTCATCTGTCTCTCCTTGGCGGCCACCCTACAGAGACTGAGAGGCTAGAACAAGGAGAGCTGAGGGGTGGGGGAGGGAGTGTGGGAGAAGAGGGATTGTGCATATGTGTAGAGGCAGCTAGATGGGGGCTTTTCATGTGTTATTTCCCACAGACCCTGCACAAGCTGATGCCAGGTTTGCTGGAGGGGCATTGTGGGGAATCAGACATAGCCAGTGCCAGACGGGCTACTGGATGAATGGAAAACTTCAATCTCCAAGGATGTCATTCTGGCCCCTTTAAGCCACAATAGTCTCTTGAAATAGTGCTTTGTTAGCTCTTGTGGGAAGCAGTGAATTTCTGTGTCTCTGAAGACAGCCATGATAGGCGCATCACAAGACTTGTGAGGTACTGGCGCTCTTTGGGGCAATTATCCGAGACAAACTCCTGGAAGTCCTTACTCAGCCTTTCCTTGGCTTAAATACACATGTTGTCTGAGTAGGAATCAAATAATATCCAATAAAAAATTGGGCCCAATAATACTCAAAACAAAGCAACAGTAAAAATCTTCTTCAACTTTAAACTTTGGAACTCTTAGACCTTCTTGCTTGTTGTCTCCAGTTTGTCACAGATTTTCACACTCTTCTTCCTCATGGGAACTTGTGGCAAATGCTGAGGTAGAATAATGCCCCTGTTTCATCATTTGTACTTTGAATGCTATAATTTGATGGGTTTTTTAATGCAAAAATTGGTCCAGCCCTCTACAATAGCCCACTGCCTTCAGAGACTAGTGCTTTCAGAGTTCAAGGGTAGAAGTCAGATCTGTAAATAAATACAGGGGGGGAAAAACCACTTACCAAGCTATTTCTTATCTATGTTTTGTTATAATAATTAACAAAATCACTTTGTATAGCCTTTTGCCATCACAGCTAGCAAAAATAAATAAAATCAGGCTCAAATCAGGAACAGCGTTGCAATAGTTCTCACAGAGTAAGAGGAAAGTGTTTTTTTATTTCTCTTCATAACTCTATTAGTTTTAAACTAAAACTTGATCTGTGCCCTCCTCAGTCTGTTTACTTTGAAACTGGCTGCTAATGTGCAGCAAATTGAGAGGGGAGAACACAGGTTTTGGAGGGCATGCAGAAATTAAATGCAAGCCCTAATACAACATCTATGTCAGGGTTCTCAAAATTATTCACAGTGCAGACTTCTTGAGGAGGGTGGGGGGAATTTCAGAAGCATCTAAGTGATATAAGAACCTACAACTCATTTTTAAAAAGTTATTTAGACATGCTGGTGTGTCTTAATGAGATTTTGGCACCTAAGTGCCTGAATCACTTTTGAAAACAGAATGTGGACTCCTCAGTCACTTAGGTACTTTTCAGCATGTTACCCATTAGGTGCATATGCGCAGCAGGGCTTAACTCAAAATCAGCTATGCAAATTGAGCTACATCTTTCACTGTAACTACATCAACTTTTCCTCCTCTATCTTTGCATATGCTTTCCTTTCCCTTGTCCCTACTGCTTTCCCCCTGATTCTCCTTGCTCATGAATGGTTACAAGCACTGAAGGGAAACAAAAAAGTCACTAATATGAAAGCAAATTCACAGCTTTTCTGCAAATGAATGTTTATAAATACTTCAATGCAGTATTTGCTCAGCTCTATTCAAGGTGTATCCTATTTTAACAACATCAGACGAACAACCACCTTTCCATCTGGAGTTTATATTCTTGGATGTCTTTAAATGAAAGATGGTGAAGAGATTCTATTATTCTGAAAGCCAAAAGGTATATCTTTAGGCCTGTATTAATTTCCATTACCTGTACAGTAGACCCTTTTACAATGAAGCCACTTATTCCCAGAACAAAGCAGAGCTTCACTACCCTCAGACTTGTTATTCGCATATTGCTATGCACTGAAAAAAACCCTGAACATGGCCATTTTGCTTCATTATAAAGAGAATTTCACTACATCTGGGTTGGTTATACATGGATCCCTAGTCTCATAAGGTGGGTAAGGCATGTTAACCTATTCTGTGGAGAGGGACAAACTCCAGTTTTAAGTATGAGCCATGGGCCACACCAACAAAGGTAGAGAATCAGTACTACCTTCTAGCCACAGCAGCCGCCTTCAGAGAAATTCTCAGCATATCACTAAAGACAAGAGAGTCACAGCAACCATGCATGTGCCCCCTTTATTTTGTTAATGCAGAAAGGTCTCAGGCAAAAGGAGGAAGCGTGGGAAGCCAGATTGAACAAAACTGAATACATTATTTACATTTATTTCTGTGCAAAAGCAAAGTGGTGAATTTCCCCCTGCCTTTCCCAGATCTTTCCCCATCACCCAGTCACTTATTAAGAGTGTAGACTGTCCAACTTAGCAAAGGAGTAGCCTACATCCTTGGGCTGATCTGCAGAAACAAGTACCTGGATCAAATGTCTTTGCATTCTCTGTATATAATATTGACACTTTAGCTAGCTGTAAGGTTAAGGTCTCTCTGCTAGGATTAACAGTTATGGAGAGTATTTGACAACGTTTACACACTAAGAACGGCTCATCTGACAGCAATGATTCCACGTTGGCCCTGCAGGGCAGTAAGAATACCTGTCAAAGACGGATTTAATTTCAATATTGCCAAAGAGACCAGCCATTAGGAGGCAGTGGAAATAATGACTGTGATACTGATGAAATCAGCTCTTCAGCCATTATTTGCTTTTCCTCACAGAAGGTGACAATGACGATGAATAACAAATGGAAAAACCCAGCACCGTATCCCAGAACATTTTGAACAGAAATCTGATAAGAGGGGAAAGCTAATATGTAACCCAGATTAGGCAATTGTGGGAATCATATAGGAAGCAAATCGTGCTCCTGAAATCAGACACAAGGCGTGGGAAACAAGACAGGGAACTTCTTCACTGATTTGTGAGCAGGTTTGAGAGCTTTGTGTGCTTTCTGTGTACGCTTAAAGTGGCTATAGTCCAATGGGATTAATTTAGAAAAATGCCTATACCTTTGTCTTTGCGTGTACAACCAGTGTCTATAGGAAGCTGTTTGCTTTTACCTCCTGGAGTTCTTAATTGCTGCTTAGGTTGTACACAGAGATGTGCCGGATGCACAATTCTACCACCTCTATCTCTAGCGTCTATACTGCTAGAGATCCTTGCAATGAAAGACGGGGAAAAGATACTTTTCTTCTGAAAGCCAACATTCTCTCTTTAGGCCTATATTAATTTCCAAAGCCATGGCAACCCTACTCTAGTGCAAAGGGCCCACTCCCAATTATTAGAAGAATGTCTCTGCAGTGCAGCTTTAAACTGGTTTTAAAGTCACATATTAATGGAATTACACCAGGAATAAATTTGGTCCTAAACGGAGCAATGTATATGCATAACAGACTGTCACAGTCCAGGCCAGTGAATGTGTAACAGAAGGTTATACTGTGCTCGGTTAAAGGTTGTGTATTGATCTTTAAACCCGCCAATAGGTCTAGTGTTCAGCTATCCTCGTGTTTCATCTGGTCCCAACTAGTCTCCGCTCACCCCTCCACTTGGTGATGCAATGTCATTCTGTGGAACAGCACTGGGGACAGTAGGAAAGGGTCTTCCCTTTGGAAAAAGCATAAATATGCCAGCCGTCATGGTACAGTACTTCAGATACTGCAGGGGCTGAGCGGAGCTGGAGCTGAGGAAGCTATCATAAGAGGGCAAGGTGAGCCTAAGCACAAAGGCTGGTAAAGCTGTTGGCTGAATGGGTAGTTTTGCTTTGAATGCATCTATGCAGTGCTGGTGCAAGGCTCTGGACTGGCCACCTCGGAGAGTGAAATCTTTTCTTTCAGATGCAGACACAGCCTCAGTGCTCATTTGGGGGAAGTAATACTGGGACTTGGGCTGCACTGGGAAACTGTGCGGGTGGTAACAACGGTGGCCAGCAACATGTCTATGACAATCTAGGACAATATCTGTATTCTCTTCTATGAATATTAGGAGTGACAGTCTCTCTGTCCCGTTTGGCACAGAGCCCTGCCAGAACGCATAGAGTTCTTTCAAAGGAGGCTGTAGAGAGGGGTCACTAAGGAACCCAGGAAAGACTGAACAATCCCACAGACAAGACAGTCTCCCAGGGTAGGTCTACCCTGCAACTGAACACTCATGGCTGGCCTGGGTCAGCTGGCTCCGGTTTGGATTGTGGAGCTGTAAAACTGGGTTGTGGGGCTGTAAGAAAGAAACAGTGGGTACTTAGCACTCACCAGCAGCCCCATGGATCCGTGCCTCCTACCTGCAGAAAGGCCCCAATGATACGTTCCTCCCAGCATCTCCCGCCCACCCTGATCAACTGTTCGGTGATGCGCGGGAGACACTGGGGGAGAAGGGAAAGGGTGGAAGAGGTATGGCAGGAGGAGGTAGGGTAGGGCAGGGATGGAGTGGATGGGACCTACGGTGGAGTGCGGGTACCGCCTGACAACTAAGGAAGTTGGCGCCTATGCCCAGCATGTGCTTCCATTGAGTTCAATAGACCTTTTACTATTGATTTCAGTAAGGGCAGAGTCAGACCAATACTAAACCCTTTTAGAAAACCCCCACTCGTCTGGATTCCTGTGCTGTGAGGAAAAGCCATATTAACACCTCACACTCCCGAAGAAAGGAGCAAAGTAGACAGCAAGTTAATTAGCTAACCCCCCCACTTTTCCTTTTTTAAAACAGACTTCACTGACATTGTCCTTCACCATGAATCCCAGAAGGAGCCTTCTGTGTTTCTTCCTGTGCCTGAGCCCCGTAATGTGCGACCGGGTATACGTCCACCCCTTCCATTTGTTTTCCTATAACAAAAGCAGCTGTGAGAACCTGGTCAACTTGATGCAAGAAGAGAAAATGTTTGTTCCCGTTTCTATTGAGTCCCAAACCATCCCTGCCTATGAAGAGACCCTGAAAGACAAAACCAAGCTGGAAAGGCAAAGCTCAGATATCAAGGGTGACCAGAGGCTGAGCTACTTGAAAGACCTAGTGTATGTTCTTGGTATGCGCTTCTATGATGTGCTGAAGGAAACTCTGAAGGGTGAAAACATTCTCCTGTCACCTACCACTCTCTACAGGTCTTTGTTATCGTTCTACTTAGGGGCCTCCGAACAGACAGCTGATGATTTACAGAAGTTCTTGGGATTCATTCCTCCCTCCGGTGACCCGGACTGCACCTCCAAAGTGGATGGACACAAAGTCCTTTTGACCCTGAAGACCATTGAGAACCTGCCCCTCTCAAGTGGAGCTGGTGACCTACTTTTTTCCAAGCTTTCCTGCCTCTTCTCTGCTCCCAGTGTCCGTTTATCTGAATCACTTGTGAACAGCCTGGCCCCTTCTTCTGATTATTTCTATGCCCGGGCAGTTGACTTTACAAACCCGAGTCAGGCAGCAGAACTAATAGAAAACTTTGTGAAAGACAAAGATACCAGCAAAAGCAAGAATGTACTGACAAACATAGACCCTTCTACCACCCTGCTGTTTCTGACTTACATTCAGTTAAAAGGTAAGAACGATGAGCATTAATTTGAATGATAATCTCAGGGGATAATCTCAGGGCTAATGACCTCCAGACTCATCTGTTTTTGCAACCCGGCACGTATGTCCCCTCGCAACTCTGATGTCTTGGGCTTTGCTTTCTCAGGATCAAGGCTGATCACAGCAGTTAGATGGAAAACCTCAGTTGAAAACCTAGAGTACTGCAAGGTGGGACTTTCTACTACATATAGCACAGCTATTATGATTTATTTGCATTGTTAGTAGCTCAAGAGCCTCATTATTCCCAGTGCTGTACAAAGACATTCACTACCCAAAGAGCGTATGGTCTAAATAGATAAGACAAAGGGTGGGAGAAAGGAAGTATTACAACCCCCCTATTACCAATTAAGTGACTTGTCCATAGTCACACAGAAAGTCTGTCTCTGAGTCATAAACTGAGTCCACATTTCATGAGTCCCATACCTGTGCCTTAGGCACAGGGTCAACCTTCTCCCCTGCTGCATATGCCATCAGTACTTCTTTTACAGACAGACGGTGGAAGGCAACATCTGTAAACCAGCCACAGCATCATTGCTGTGCATAAGGGAAACTGAGAAAAGACTGGAGGGCAATTTCTTCTGACCAGTTGTATAAAGATCCATAGGTTTGTGTCCACTATTTCCCATAAGCTGTGTGCCTATGGGAAATATTCAAATGCTGCCCAGCTGACTGGCAGACAGTCCATAGCTAGGTTTTGTGTTTCAATTGGTGGTGCACAATTGTACATGCCTTGGTGCACGTAAAATTCTATTCCACACGGGGATGGAAAAAATCTGCAAATGGATAGAAACGATTAGAGAAAACATTGTTTGGGCCCCAGCCAATGAAACAAGCCAGCCATGCCCACTGCCAGCTTGTTCTGCATCTGTGTTGGCCCTACGCAAGGGAATATCAGAAACCTCCCTGAGCTCTACTGAAGTCAGGATTCCATTCCTGCCCATTTCACATGCTGCAGGTGGGAAGTGCTCCTGGTCCAGTCCCCTCCCCAGAAAAGAAAGCAGCATTCAGCAAAGAGAAGCAGCGTTTCACAAGACTAGGAGAACAGTCCCATCCGGGCAGTTCCATTCTGGTTACCTAGAACTCACCTTGTTGCCCTGGGTACAGCTGCACCACTGTAGCGCTTCAGGGTAGCCTCTCCCTATGCCAATGGTAAGGCTTCTCATGTCAGCATAGCTGATTCACCTCTGTGAGAGGCATCTGCGAGGTTGACAGTGGAATTAGACCTACCGCTCTTTATACCAGGGCGGGGGGGAGAGGGAAGGGGAGATTTTTCACATCCATGGGCAACTAGCTGAGTCAACCTAACTTTTTAGGAAAAACTGGGTCTCAGTAAACTAACTTGAGATCCTCCGATGAAAGACACTGGCTCTTTGAGGCAGCAAGTTTATCACGAGACTCGTCTATAAGGATACGTATACTCAGCAGTGTTATTTCGGAATACCTGACATTATTCCAAAATAACATACTCCGTGTCTACACTACAAGAAGTTATTTTGACATAATGTCAAAATAACGTCGAGCTGGAGGACTTCTTACTCCGACTCCTGTGACCCTCATTTCATGAGGAGTAAGGGCAGCTGGAGGAAGAGTGCTCTCTCTAGAACTTCCTGCTGTGTAGACAGAGCCAAAGGCCGAAATAAACTATTTTGACTTAAGCTACACAATTGATGTAGCTGAAGTTGCGTAGCTTATTTTGGCTTTAGCCCTGCTGTGTAGTCATGCCCTGAGGCACTCAGACAGAATTGATATTGTAAAAAGAACAGGCATGATAAGGCGAGTCTTACCTTTTAATCTTGCAGTGAGCCGGGCACAGCCAGAGGAAGCAGAGTTTAACTTTAACAAAGCTATTGCTTTAGAACGCTTTCCCCTGTGTTTGAAACTCACAGGTTGATTGATTTGAGATGTCTGTTTGTCCTGTTGCTCTGCTTCACTGGTCCAGCTCTGTTTCCTCTGCTCTCTTAGGAAGATGCACATACATGCCAGGGGCTAGAGAAAAGCAATTCAGACACAGATGAAGTAGAAAATAAACATTGCTGCAGCCCATGTTTATTGTGCAGCAGATCGTGCTTGGCTCTTGTTTCAGAAGGAGCAGCCATATTAACCCATACTGACAAGCTCCGCATTTTCTCTCAGTAAACTCAAAAGAGGAAAATATATTAAGTTATTACATGTGGTCATAAGATATTACCCATAGTCATAGGACAGTCCAGGTGGCAGCAATCCAATTAGAAACCTGGGTTTCACTATTCTAGACCTTCAAGTTGTAACCCACTTATATAAAGATTGAGACCCTGTCATTGTGCTACAATCACCATAGTCACAAAGCAATGGTCAAGCATAGTACAGTCGCAACACATGGGCACAAGGGCCATTTCTGAAATTCTTTGCAGGTCATCCATAATTAAACCCAAAATGGATGGGGGCTGAGGAGGATAGAAAATGGTTTTCAAAATTGCAAAAATAAATAATTACAAATCAACATGGGAAGCTGGATCCTGCAGTAGCACCACTTGACAGCTGGCCTAGGCAAAACTGTTCCATCCACACTGTTTTACAGTGGAACATGTTTCACAGAAAGTCTAAATTTTCTGCCAAAAAGTGGACATCATTGAAAAACTAAAAACAGCTGACAATATTTGGGGTGTTTTTTGACAAAAAGTCTACATTTTCCATAGAATAGAAAGCTATTTTCTGACCAGCTCTTCTAGATGGGTGCAAAAATATGTCTCTAAGTATGGAAAATACTGCTTGAAGCCTAGATGAGCAATGGTTCTTTCTCAAGGGGAGGGTGAGTGGATCAGAGTCGTCTCCGAGCTTGTCAGCGTAGAGTTTCACCATATTGCTGATACCCTCTACACCTTTCTCGCTCTGTCTCTTGGTCTTCTCACTATAGACCTCTTTCCTTTGATAAAGCAGTGATAACCCAGCACCACAACCCTCTGTGAATAAGCTGACACTTGGTAATAAAACATTTTTCAGTAGTACAGCTAATATAATCGTTTCTTATTATCTAGCACTCCCCTCCTTTCTTTCATTTTTTGTTACGAGAAAAATGTACTTGAACAGGGCTAAATTTAAATGTTTACATCTAGGAACAAAGAACACAGGACCCACTGACAGAATGAGGAATTCTATCCAGGGAAGCAGTGACTGAAAAAGATGCGGGGGTTGTGGTGGTTAATCAGCTGCACATGAGTACCCCATGCGATGCTGTGGCCAAATAGCTAATGTGATCTTTGGATGGGTAAACAGCTGAATCCTGAATAGAAGTAGCAAGGTTATTTTATCTCTATATTTAGCACTAGTGTGACTGCTGCTGGAATACTGTGTCCAGCGCTGGGGCCCACAATTCAGGAAGGGTGTTGATAATTTGGAAAGGGTTCAGAGAAGAGCCCCGAGAATGATTAAAGGATTCTAAGACAACCTGCCTTATAGTGACAGGCTCAAGGAGCTCAATTTATTCAGCTGAACAAAGAGACGGATAAAAGGTGACTTGATTACAGTGTACGCTCCTACCTGGGGAACAAATATTTTATCATGAATCTAGCTAGCCCAATTCAGACAGGAAATAAGGTGTAAATTTATAACTGCAAATAATGAATCTATAAAACAATTTACCACAGGTTGTGCTGGATTCTCCATCGCTAACAATTTTTTAAATCAAGAGGACATGGGTTTTTAAAGATATGCTTTAGGAATGATTTATAGAACAGTTGGCCAGAAGGTTAGCTGGGGAAATCCTGGTAGCTCTTTTGAAGTAAATGGAACTATGCAGATTTACAGTTACTGAAGATTTGTCCCACCAATGGGAATGAGCTTGACCCTACATGTAAAGTCAGTGGCAAAGCTGTAGGAGAGGTCAGTGATGTGGAGCCAGGCTCAAATTAACTATAGCAGCTAATACTGATATTGCAGAGGCAGCACATTGTCATAGCCACGCTGGTTTGCTTGCCAAACCAAGAACTTTTCACTGGAAGCTTTTAGCAAAATATCACCAGCAAGTGAAGTTCCTAAACTGTGTTCATTAGCAACCAAGGTCTGTGTTTAACAATCCCAATGAGAATTTCTCTCTGATCAGAGTGACGTGACCCAAAGGTAGAGTAATGTTTACTTACTAGGATCATAGGAACTGTGCTGACTCTGACAGAGGGCCCTAGAAGCTGCCTCAAAAGAAGGAACAAGAATCTGTACAGGAAGCATCTGTGAAATAACCTTCCCCCACTCCAGGAAAAATTTTCTCCTAACCCAAAAGAGAGGCTGGTTTATGGTATAGTCCAAAGCATGAGGGTTTATAGCTAGGGTTGCCAGGTGTCTGGTATTCAACCGGACAGTCCTCTGTCCAGTAAAAAAATTCAGAAAATATCAGACTTCTGCAATGTCTGGTATTTTCTGCTTTTCTGGCTGGGTGCCTGATGGAAGCCTGGCGGGGGAGGGAGGTTGGGGCCACAATCAGTGCTGGGAGCCCTCAGCTCAGCTGGTTGCGTGTGGAAGCCTGGCGGGGACAGGGGGAGTGGCTGGGGAGACGGGGCCGCAATCGGTACTCCAAGTCTTTAACATCGCTTAAGCCTAGCTCTCCTGCCCATTATCGTATTCACCTTCTGCTCTATGTGGCAATTTGCCTGGTTTCCCTCAGGTAAGGCTCATTCGGAGATCAAGTAGGCTTAGCACCAGACTTTCCAGACCTCAGAACAAGGCACTTTTTGATACTGGGTTCCCTCACAATTCTGTTTATAGTATAGTATAGGGCCTAAGAACCCTGTGTCAAATTTATCCTCATTTGAACACAGACAAAGATAGCAACTGAGGCAGTGACATTACCTAAACACATGCATATAAAGGAGAGTTAAGAAAAATGTGTTCTCCTTTGTAGAACTGCTTAAATATTGCTAAGCGATAAGTACAGTAAAACTCCAGTGGTCGGGCACTCCTGATGGTCCGGCACCATCTGGAACCCAGAAGTGCTCTGGGCAGCCAGACAATTGGAGCTACTCTGCTCCCGGTTTCCCCAATTCAGCCTTTGCTGAAACTGACCAGCGGCTGACTCCGGGAAGCCCCTCATTTGGACACATACAAAGAAAGTAACTGAGGCAGTGACATTACCTAAACACATGCATACAAAGGAGAGTTAAGAAAAATATGTGCTCCTTCATAAGATTGCTTAAATATTGGGATATTTACTGTAGCTGCAGAGGCAGAATAATACAAGCATTCAGTAGGGAAATTATTTATTTTATTATGATGAAAAGAATAAGCCCAAATAGCTCTTTGGACAAATTTAATTACTAGATTTGAGAGCTCTTAATCTACATCAAATTAAACAATTTCATGGCCTTTAACATTTGGTTTGGAAGTTTCAAGACAACTACAGCACTTATTTCTCAGCAAACCAGAGAGAATTTCAAAAACATTTAAAATGGTACAGTATTCTCTAAAGAATTACCAGCTCAAAGTATAATTATTCATAAAAAGAAAGGTGATAAGGTTTTAGCTTCTTAATATTGACCCGGCTATAGAAGGAAAAATAATGATCAATATTAATCCAACAACAACTAACGTTATAACTATATTTTACATTGTACAAATAGGGTTGCCAAGTGTCCAGTTTTCGCTTGGACAGTTTGGTATTTTGGCCTTGCGTCTGGTAAAAAATCCAGAGAATACCGGACACATAAAATGTCCAGTATTGTCTGTTTTCCTCAGAGGGCTAGCCGGCGTCATCTGCGAGGGTGGGGGGGGAGCAAGGAGTGCGGTAATATATATATATTTTTAATTTCTTTTTTTTTTTGCTCAACCAATTTTTCCCTGCCTGTTCAGGATTTTTTGTGAAGGTATCTGGCAACCCTAATCTGGCCATGGGGGAGGGTGTGTGTGGGTGTCTGGCCAAAGACGGGTCCCGAATGAGGAAATTTGCCAGACTATGGCTATGTCTACACTTTTTTGCAGAAGAGGATATGCAAATGGTGCACTCATTTGCATATCTTCTTCTGATTCATTTTGCGGAAGAGGTTTTGCTGCTAAAAAGCCCCGTGTAGACGTGGCCATTTGTCAGAAGAAAACTCTATCTCGCAAGATCCCTTATTCCTCAAAGATCAAGGTTTACAGGATCTTGCAAAAGGTTTTTTTTCCCAACAAATGGCCACGTCTACACGGGGCTTTTTAGCAGCAAAACCTCTTCCGCAAAATGAATCAGAAGAAGATATGCAAATGAACATACCATTTGCATATCGTCTTCTGCAAAAAATACGCAGTGTAGACACAGCCTAGGGGAGGTCCCCTGCCATTGCCCCTCTAGTCTGCTGCCCCTCCCTTCTGCTGGCTCCATTTCCACCCCGACTGGTCCTCCCTGCCTCTAGCCTGCCAGCTCTGGCTGGGCTTGCCAGACACTGGCCCCCATTGCCAGCTGCAGCTTCCCAGTTTAGGGCCGCACAATCTGTATTGCAATGCTGGATAAACTTGTTTTCCATATAAATGTCCAATTTGTTATTGAATACTGCTTTAGTCTTGGCTGCTAATATCACGTATCAATGAGTTTCACAGACTATATTTTTACCCTGTACGAAAAAAATATTTCCTTTTATCAATTTTAAATTAGCTTTCTTTTAATTTCAGTTTATGTCCCCTTATTCTTATACTATACAAAGAGGTGAATAGCCGTGGACAATATTGTATCAATGTGTAAATGTCTTTTTAATAACAATAGCACACTGCTGAATGATCGCAGTAGTCCCAGTAATAGTCAGATGGTTCTTTTCGATATGGTGCATAGGTGCCTTTGCTAAGCCCAGCCTGTCCAGCAACACAGCGTGGTCACTTATATAATTAAACAATTTTGGCACATACGTCTCGTACGCAGGGTCACATTTGTGTTTTCAAAAGTAAACAGACTCTTGTAACGATTAATTAGGGATAATACATAAATAAATTAGACCTCCTCCCCTCCCCCCTTTCTCTTTCCCAATCTGGTTTTCAGCCAATGTGAAGAAAGCCTCCCAACTGAAAGAGCTTCAGGAGTTCTGGGTTGATTCAAGCACAAAGATCTTGGTGCCTATGATGTCGGCAACCGGAATGTTTCCGTATAAGAGGGATGACAACAAGAATTATTCAGTAATCAGAGTTCCTGTCAGTGAGAATGCTTTGCTCGTGCTGGTACAGCCCGTCAACAGCAATGACCTGAACCAGATAGAATTGGAGCTTTCCTTGTATCCATCTTCTACTTGGCTGCAAAATCTGTCACCAAGGTATATTTAAATGGGCAGACAATCTCACATGAGACTATAGGCATTACTAAAACAGAAGAAGCCAGTGGCCCGTGGCTAGCTAGTTTCTTCTCTCTGTGGCCAGATCCGTCCAAGGAACACATAGCAGACCATGGGAAACATACGTCAATGCACCTTGTTGTGCAGCATGGTTATACCAGCAGTCCCTAGAGGATGATCAGTTGTCTAGAAACACTTATATTTAGCCTCTCTCACATGCAGTTATATGTTCTCAAGTCACAAACTTTCACCCTTGTTTTGTCCCCTCCTCTTACCTGTGGATAACAAGGATTCTGGGGCTAAGTCCTGTCTCCACTAAAGTCACTTGGAGTTTTACTTCAATGGAGCCAGGATTTTACCCGTGGTATTTTGCCTTTTCCCAACAAACAAACAAAAGTTGCTCTAAAACAGCTAAAACAGGCCTCACCATTGGGACTAGTCATGTTTAAACATTTACCTAAATGCTTTATTATATGGGGGCCATATTACATCATCACTCCACTCATTAGACTGGCAAGTTACCCCTCACAAACAATACACACAGCTTCCACCGGTCTGTGACACAGAAAATGGATTATTCTTATATGCTTAGGTGCGCAACACCCCCCCCTCCCCCGCTTAGCTTTCACTGGTTTTAAAATCCAACATCACTTTATGGATTTCTCCCTCCCCCAAACATATTGGTGGAACAATAATCTCTTTTTTAAATATATTTTCCACAGATATATTAAACTATCTTTGCCAGAGTTAACAATAGAAAGCACATATGATCTTCAGGAACTGCTCACAAAAATGAACTTGTCTACCCTGCTGGGGAAGAACGCAAATCTCAATAAAATAAGTGATGCCAGTCTTGCTGTTGGAAAGGTACAGTACATGCTATGCCATGCGAGTTAAGAAACACCTTCACCCATGTAACTTGTTCAACCAAATGTATGTAAATCAGCTAAAACCACAATACTACCAACAGCAAGGACAGTGCTGGTGGGGGCGGGGAAAGGGGCGTCCTGACAGGCCATGAATAACCCTCAGGCTGAAGTGTGATTGAACTAGCGATTTAAACATCATCACTACCCGCAGCAGGGTTAACAGCCTGGCCAGGCCCAGGGCTCGGCTCTGCACCCACTAGCGATTCAGACATCATCACTACCCCCAGCAGGGTTAACAGCCTGGCCAGGCCCAGGGCTCGGCTCTGCACCTGCCCCAGAAGAGGTGGGGCCTCAAGCAGAAGGGGCGGAGCTGGGGCTAGGTAGAGTGTCACAGCTCCCCCAGGCAGCTCTCAGTGCTGCTCGGAGCGTGCCATGTGGCACTGCAGCAGCGATTTAAAAGCCCGGAGGCTCTGGTTGCCACTGCTAACAGTAGCTGCAGCCGTTGGGTGTTCCAGGCCCTTTTGTATTGCCAGGCCCCTGGGCAATTCCCTTCCCCATCAGCAGTCCTGGCTACTACATGCATTACAGTAGCGCCACAGTCAGAGAGTCAGGTCTGAGGTTCTGTTGCACAAGGCACTGTACAGAAATAGAGGAAGGCATGGTCCCTGCCAATTATAAATAATTGAATAGCACGCCAAGCTTGTCAATGAGCAGGAGCATGATTTGACAATGTATTACGCTATGAAGAGCTCAGCAAGTTCAAACTGGAACCTCCATAGCTGAGGGTTAGGCTGTTCAGTCCTCTTCCTGGATATGCCAAAGCAATACATTCCCCCCGACCCCTTCCTGCACATGGGCACAGGAGCTGCAACCTTTCCTGAAACCCACCTCTGGAACACGGACAGACTAGACCAGTGTTTCTCAACCTTTGGGGGCTGGCAACCCCCCTTGAACTTGCCCAAGCCCCACTGCCCAGGACAGAGGCATGTAACTTAGCTTTGAGGCCCCCAGATTCACTTGCATATTTGCTTTTCAGGTTATAAATAAGGCCCTTTTCAAACTGAAGAACTCGGGAGCAGAAGAGCTCTTAGAAGAAAATGGAGACTCACTGCCCCTGGAAATACAGCTGAACAAACCGTTCCTTCTAGCAGTTTATGAGAAGAATTCGAAAGCCATGATTTTACTTGGCAGAGTGACAAACCCACTGAATGGTGTTTAAAACCAAAGGCTGAGGAGCAGAAAGGATGGTGTGGAAGGGAGGGTAAATGGATAGGAAAACTTTCCATTCTTCCAGTCCCCTTTTCCTTCCACTGTCTTTGTTATCCTGTTGAGCAGCTGTAGTTAGCTTTGAAATGAAGCAGATGGTATTTCAAATACAAGTTTTAAAATATAACAAAATGCAAGTGATAATTGTGTATTTTTCTCCCAATTAGTCATCCACTGAGAGGGAGGAAAACCCTTTGTTTGTTAGGAACATGATGATGGCAGCGTGAACTTTTTATGGCATGAATAGCTACATCACAAGCTGCAGTGTGAAGTTTGACTGCTTAGCAAAACTGGTGTTTCATTGCAGAGAGGTTAAGAAGGGATAGCTTCAGCTCTTACATGTTTGAAAAGTTGGGTGGTGATGTGGAAGCATCACAGATCATATTGAAGAAGTAATATTAAGACTATATCATGTGAGCATGCTTTTTGGATGTTTCTCCCTCCCTCCCCCACACAATCCAAATAGAAAATAAAATATATTTGCAAAGGTACTGGGATGCTAAAATAAGGTTGGTTTGCACTGATGAATTGAAAGAGCAATGTTATTACATACACCTCTTTAAAAAAAACCTGAACTTTTCTAGTGGAAACATAAGGCTTTCTAAACCATAAATCATTAGACATTTACACTAAGAGCCATTTATTACACACATTTACAACAATGCCCTTAATGAAAAAGTACTACTATTTAGGGTCCAACTTTGTAATTCTTAATTCTCATTGAGTAGTTCTTGTTTAAGCACATAGTCCTAGTGGAAGTAATTTGGACTTGCGACATGAGTCAGTAGCACTACATGAGTGTCAAGGTTGCAGAACCAAGCTGCTAAGGTTCAACCAGTCAAGTTAATGACCTTTGTTGGGGTCTAACAGGAGTTTAATTAGACCCCCAAAAGTTTAATTAGATTGTAAATTTGTGGAGGATGAAAACTGGGACCCACAGAAGTGAATGTCATCATTTCAAAGGAGCCAAGATTTTACCCCTTGTCTTGAAGACCTGTCTGTAAAGCACATAGTGCACACTACAGATAATGATAAAATGTTCCCGAATGCAACCTTTTACACATCCTAATGGATAAAGAGTAATTAATACAGCCAAATCTGGGAAGTCTAGATATGTATTAGATTATGCAGTGTGTATTCCAGAAGACACTAAGATTTAAATGCTGCGCTTGCACTGTATATAAATCAAAAATATTAAATATATTTAAAAATATTAAAAATCTGAATATTAAATATTCAGAGTAGGAAAAATTCACAAATAAAACATTTACAAATGGCTATCAGTACTATAGTGGAGTTAATGTACAGTTTGTAATAGGATCCCTAATTCATTCCCACTTTTGAAATTTCCTGTAGGTCTTACATTTGCTTTACGTCTTACATTCATGTTTTACAACAGACATTAAGCTGCAACGTAGCACACCATGTGCACATGGGCATATCTGCCAGTGTAATAGAAGCAACTGCCAAACTTTCAGAAATCTGGTATTGATTTGAAAACCTGCCTCTTATGTTCATCAAGAGGCTTCATTTTCGTGGTGCTCCTTGTGTTCCTGATTGTATTATCCTGCATATGCGCCACCGTTAGCAAACAGCTTTCCTAGCTGTGGTGTTAGGCAGTTCAGCAAGAAACCACTATCCACAAGGAATTCCATATTGCCTGACCACCCTGCCCAGGTAATGAAAGTGAGAGCACTTAGCAGAATGGGAGATGCATGTAGCAGTAGATGCTTAGTGAGAAGAAAAGGAGAGCATAGAATCATAGAACTGGAAGAGACCTCAGAAGGTCGTCAAGTCCAGCCCCCTGCTCTAGGCAGGACCAATTCCAACTAAATCAACCCGGCCAGGGCTTTGTCAAGCCGAGACTTAAACACCTCTAGGGATGGAGACTCCACTACTTCCCTAGGTAACCCAT